GCCGCGGGGGACAGATTGGAGCTGCTCTGAGGCTCGGAGCTGGGGGAAACCAGCCCCGGGGGCGTGGAGGACTCGTAGCCTGAGCTGGCGGCGGGGGAGGACTCAGAGCCCTGGGGGGAGGACTCATGGACCTGCAAGACAAAAGCCGGGAGGGGGGACCAGAGGGGACTGGATGTGAGTGCAGCTGCTGTGAGGCCGGGCCCCCGAGGCGGAGCACCCCAGAAGTGTCCCTCTCCACCCGGCTCCCTGGGGACCTTCCCGGGCGGGCTGCGGTTTCCCAGGCCCCTCCGAGCCGGCCTGCCGGGCCGGCCTCGCCCTCCTCCCTGCTACCGCGGGGGTACCTTCATGTGCTTCCGCAGGGAACTGGGGTGCGTGTAGGACTTGTCACACATCTTGCAGAGATAGGGCTTATCGGAGGTGTGGACGTGCATGTGCTTCTTCCGGTCGCTACTGTTGGCAAAGCGCCGGTCGCAGCCCTCAAACTCACACTGGAAAGGCTTCTCCCCTGTGGGCGGCAAACAGGGTCGCTGGTTGAGACACAGAGTCCCGGAACACCAGGTGGTTAGGGGGCAGGCAAGGCGACGACTTGGGGGTAGAAGGGCTGAATTCCTTAAACAGGTCGGATCCCCTCGGTGGCAGACCAAGGTGAAATTAACCCCTTTTCCACCTGACAGTCCTGATCACTTATTTCCTATTTTACTTTCTCCTACACTGAAGCCCATCTCCTCAAATTTCTAACAAGTCTGGGGTAAATCCTGGCCCTGCCCGCTTTTCTATAGGACTTCTTGGATGCGCAGCCTCTAACAAGTTGGTCTCGCCATGGAGAAGCTGTTATTATGACAAAATATTTGGGGCATTATCAAAATCACACAGGCTGCTGGGCTGCTGTCGGTTTCTCTCTGCCGCCAGTAGGCAATTACATTTGGAGAAGCTATGTGTTGTTTGGGGGACGGGCTGTGGATATTAACGGAGCCAGTATTTTTCATCCAAAATTCTGCATATTGAATTAACTGTAATTCTAGTTTCACCAGCCTTATTAAAAATAAGTTTGAAAAGGGGGGGGGTTGATAGTAGTGATAAGGTAGTCTTATAATGATTGCCGAGGGGCCAAGCTGGGGGGTGGGGTGGGGAACAGAGTCAGGAAAACCTTTCAAAATCTCCCCGTTTAATTTTCTGGTGGTCCCAGCATCCTGTTGCCAGAATTCCAAATGCTTGGAGTCATTTAGAGGTGTGAGAACTCAAACGTCGTTCCACTTGGAAAGGGGATCGTTTAACGTTAAATTCCATTAGCACCTAAATTGTTTTTTAAAGACATCCGCTCAGAGACAGGACTCGAAAGCTAGCTTTTCATGCAAATAAATTTCTCAAATTTTAAACCTTGTTAAAAGCTTGTCTCGCACCTCGGCTCCCTCCCTTCCCAAAAGAGAACAATAGGCCTCTGGCGCATCCCCACTTCGGAGTAAATATTGACGAGGGAAGTTGCTAAAACATTTGGCTTTCTTTTAGGAAATCGTCTGGCACGATTTTGACTGAGACCTGGTCATAGATGAATAATCTATGAGGCGGGAGGCGCGCTCTTTTGCGGCTCTCTCTTCTCACGCGATCCCCCGTGGGGACGCGCTGCCTGGGGCTCTCGCTGACCGATTGTGGGTCCAAGTTTGGAATCGCAAACCCTGTGGTGCCCATTAGAGATTTTCACAAACTGCTGCAAAACCACCGTAAAGCCCCCGCGACCCACCCCGAGATGGGCTTTAAAAAAAAAAAAAAAACTTTAAAAATGAGAAATGCTTTACAGCTCCGGCTCACACCAGGCTTATTTAATGGGAAACAGTCCCGGGAAGGGCGTTTGGACCACGAGTAAAAGACGTGGGAAAATACACAAGCCACTCAAACACAGACACGCACCCGGAGCAGAAAAGCACATTCAGACAAGCTGGCAAAATCCTCTCTAGGCTCGCTTCCCGGGCACCGAGTTACAGAGCAGTTTTATTTTGTGCGTTCTATTTAGAACGCAAATTATTAACCAGGGCTGAGCAAACGAAGCAGTTGCATCACCCCACACGTTCATTTGATATTATACTGGTCATTTAAAATTCAATTTCCGCATATGGAAAAACCCAGGCCAATAATAGTCTTTCATCATCCAACAAAAACAAGCCGCTCGCTCTTTCACACACAAAAAAACATCTCCCGTCCCAGGGCCCGGGCTAGCGGTTGGCGCCCTCCGACCGCGCGCTCGAGCGCGTATACACACACACACACACACACACACACACACACACACACACGCACACTTCAGCTTGTGCATTTCTCCCCAAGTCTCCCTTCCACACTTCGTCCCGTCCTTGCCTGCGGTTACCTGTGTGGGTCCTTTTGTGGATCTTGAGGTTCTCGGAGCGCGCGAAGACCTTGCCGCAGCCTGGGAAGGGGCAGGGAAAGGGTTTCTCGCCTGTATGCACGCGGATGTGGTTGACCAGTTTGTATTTGGCCTTGAAGGGCTTGCCTTCGCGAGGACACTCCTCCCAGAAGCAGACATGGTTGCTCTGTTCCGGGCCTCCGACATGCTCCACCGAGACGTGGGTCACCAGCTCGTGCATGGTGCTGAAAGTTTTGTTGCAGCTCTTCTTGGGGTTGCTGAGCTGTTCGGGGTCGATCCACTTGCAGATGAGCTCCTGCTTGATGCACTGCTGCCTCATGTAGCGGAAAAAGGCACCGGGGTGGTGGTGGTGGTGGTGGTGGTGGGCCGCGGCCGCTGCCATGTTCATACCCATGTTCATATTCATGGGGCCGTACTGATTGTGGAGCTGCGCCGCCGAGTACGGGTCGGTCCGCGGGCTGGCCACCTGGCGATATTGCTCCGAGCGCCCGAACACTTCTCCAGGCAGCCCGAGGCGCATCTGCCCATTGAGCACATTCTGCGAGCTGTGCGGCCCATGCTGCTCCGGGAGGCCAGGGAAGAGGAGGTGGCCCTGCGCGTCCGAGTGCGCGTGATGAAGGCCACCCGCACCCGGCCCGAATAGCCCATGCTGCCCTCCGCCCGGCGCCGAGTCCCCGAAGCCGCGGCTGCGGAACAGGAAGTCCCGAGTGGAG